TTTTCAGATCTGGAAAAACAATTTTGTGCATATCCAGCAGATTATTGTTCATCAACTTGCCAAGTTACATTGATGTCTGCTGCAGAATTTCTGAGAAAATGTTGGTGATGAAAAGTGAAACTTACAACCGTTAGAAACTGTTACAAATAGCTTCTGGATTACTTTAGAAAAGTTTTAAATTTCACAACGTTTGAATATTTATTTGTACTTTTAGGTTAGTGAGGAGGTTATAATAATTCTTCATTTAACTTTAACACTGTTTTTTTCACCCCTTTAAAAGTCACTTATGGCCATTATAATGGCCAGAAAATGTTCGAGACGGAAAGTGAAACTTGCAACGAAGGCCAAATTATAAACTAAAAGGGGAATAATTAAGACAAAGTGTCTCCAATTAATTAATAATTTGTTCTTCTTAGGTTCTACTCTGTATCCATCCACTCCCAAATCAGAAACCAAGATCCATTCATTCTGTTGCATTTTTAAAATTTGAAGTGACTTTCTCGAAATTATTGGCCTATAGTTCTGAAATAATCCCTAGTTAATTACGTGATTGAATCAGTCATCACTTTCAACCTAAGCCTATCTTGCCATGAAATGATTTAAATTGATGATTGGTTTTTAATTATGTTCTATTTAAAACTGGGTATTGTCTGTGTCCTGTCATCCTGGGAAATGTGTATTCATTTAACTATTTTGGAAAATCTTCAAATTAATTGATCTTAGTTACAATGAAATCATAACTCATGTCTTTTTCTCATGTACCTACATGTACATGCATTTGTTCATAGGTGCTGACATTTACATTTACAATTACACTTGTTCTTCTATCAGCAGTTGTGTACAAGGATTTCAATATGTTCTATTTGGTGCAAATGTATTACAGTGACTAAAACTGAATATTGACTGTCTTCCCATCAGAGATGCATTCATTTTGAGTAACTGTGACTATTTATTTACCAGGGAAAATCTCACAATGAATACATCTTATGCCCATGTCTTTCTCACATCATGTACCCACCATTACAATCATGGCAATTGTTTATGGCTTACAGACATTTACAATGACTTGTTCTTCTTTCAGCTGTTGCATACAAGGATATCACATTCTTCAATGCAAAAGCTTTACCAAGTAAGACTGACAGTACTGTCATTGGTGGATACTCAGCTGGTAGTGATAAGACAACATCATTTACATATGGTAGAATAATAGATACAGGGACAGGGGATACACTACCAAGTGATGTGACTTATACAAACCAGAGTGGTTATGCAAGAAGGATGACCATCCCAGCAGGCTCTAATCTACCTGGTGTGTACTACTGTGATCATTCAGGTTTCAGGTTACAAACTGTTCTAGTGGCATCACAAGGTAAACATATTTTTTTTTTTCACAGAAAGTGATAGTACCGGTACATTAAATGGGTATACATGTAGTAGGTAATATTGAAGAGAGATTTCTTTTCAGTGTATTTGAAAACAACAAAGCAATTGTTGAATTCTGTAACAATAATATAATGTGTAGTACATATGTGTAAAAACGTTATAGAATTTAAAACATAGGTTTTTATTTTCTTTAATGATATTTTTAATTTCATAATTAATATATTTAACATGTATGATATGTGTGTGTGTGTATGTATGTATGTGAAAACGTTTTTAGCTGAACTGTTTATCTTGATTTTTGTTGTATAGCAGCATTATGTAGATTGAAATTTGTACATAAGAAGTTTATCCTCCAAACATTATGCAAAAACTATAAAAATGCTTAAATGACTTACTGTAAAGGATTTAATTTTTCCTTGGAATTTATCATAAAGTGAAAATATCATTTTTCCTATATTTTGCAATCAACTCAATCAAAAATAAATGAAAATAAACTTTATGCAGGATTTATGTCTTTTCAGCAAAAACTACAGTTAAAATAAAATATTGTACAGTACATGTATATTGTATTTCTCTAACAATTTCTGTCTGTTGATTCACTGCTCTATGGGGACTTTTGAAACAGCCAAGTAGAGTGGTTGTTCAGTCTGGCTGCCATTTAATATTTGTGAAAATATGTTGAGAAATTATTGTTGAAGTTATAGATTGATATATTTGGGTAGTCTAGCATCTCATCCATTTTTGGTGGTGATTGTGCAAGACATTTCTCATTTTCCCATTTTGGAAACAATATTTTCAGCTGTTGTTGTTCCATAGATGCCTATGTATCAACATTACCTGGAGCTGTCGACATGTGTGAAAATACATTAAAATTACATAAAATGTTTTTTTTTCTTCTGTGCAGTTGATATTTTATGATAGATTTGTACCTTTTCTCAATTTAGTGTGGGTCAATTTTCATTTGATTTTCAAGATGCTAATTCAAATTTTTAGCTCCGCTGTCAACGAAGTTGTGCGGAGCTTATAGTATTACTGATTGTCCGTCGTTGCCATCGTTGGTACCGTGGGTGGACTTCAGTCAGATTTGTTAATTTTGAGTCATTATCTCCAATTCTTTATTTTTGTCATTTTTTAGTAAAAAATGCTGTTTCACAACTTCTTCTTAAAAATTACCAGCTTAATTACCTCAATACTTGGTATATACATTTGTATAACAAGTGGATACAACCATGTAAACTGCCATGGCTGTGATTTAGTACATTGAGCTTACAATAACCATGGCAAATTACTACATCATCATATAAAACATTATCCACTTTGTTCTGAGGAAGATGCACTACAAAAACAGTGGAGCTATTTTGTAAGATGTAGTAGTAAGGGTAGAACTACTATGCAAATTATTTTTCCTTTCACCTACTTTTGAGATGCATGTATACGTTGTAATTGTCTATTAATTATCAATATCTCAGGAACCACTAATCTAATTCAATACAACTGGGTATATAGCTGCATAGAAATAATGCTAAACCTGATAAGGTTTTAGTGGAAATTACTAAATCCAAATTTGAAAATCTATTAGTTTAATTATTGTGGTTGGTCTGGTCATTAAGTCTTTTATTTATTTGTTCAATATATTCATGCCTGCAGCAGTATTTACATATGATAAGATGTGTATTTGATTGTTGTGTTACAAGGCACACAATGGGAGTTGTTGTAGTTTAGTTTACTGTAGGTATTTGTATTTATTTGTGGATGCCTGTATATGTGCATCTGTTGTACAAATATCTCAAAAACCAATCATTAGATTTCAATCATGATTTGTGATAATGCTTTGCATATTACAAGCTACTTATATGAACCATATTTTCCAGGTCATAAGCCCAGTGGCCTCAACATGTAAAATCAAGGAAAATAAAGGGTGGGCCAGTGGACCACCTCAGAAAGGATGAACGTTTTGGGTGTTTAACATTGTAACAATGTTTAATACCCTAATAAAATATCCAAATTACATCCTTCATTTACCATGATGGGGGGATTATTACGTTTGCGTTGAGAGAGAAAAAAAATGTAAGGAGTTTGGTCATCATTGATTTCCACAACACTTTTACAATGAAAAAATAAACATTTCACAGAAATAAGCACATTTTATTACAATTTGATTTACATACCATCTGAATTGACGGTGTAACAGTCAAAGTCGAGATCTTTTATTAACTTTGTTATCAAATGTTTTTGGGTAAAATGTTTAATAAAATTTAAAAAGTAAAATCTTTTACAACTTTAATTTTGAAAATAAAACTTTATTTCCCTATTCCCAAATGACATACCATATATTTTTAGCAAAATCCATTGATCAATTGGCTTATTTTTTGTGTAACCGTAAGTACTACCTACATGTAGAAAGAACAGCAGATATGGCTATACAATACGCCTCAACTTACCTACAGGTAAAGGTAGACCAGGTGTATATTACTGTATTACTTCAGATGTGTCAATACAAACAATACTAGTAACATCACAAGGTGAGTAGATCAACCCATAACAGCAGATATGGCTATACAATACAGCTCAACTTACCTACAGGTACAGGTAGACTGGGTGTATATTACTGTAATACTTCAGATGTGTAAATACAAACAGTACAAGTAACAT